TCACCGGTGATCATCTGCACAGTGGTCGCCCCTTTCTTCTTTCAATGAAAAAGAAACCTCGACGCCGGCATAAAGAAGAGTTATTACCATTAATACTACTACCACGACGATATCATTTACGATTACAACGATCACAATCACCCGTTTTCATACCAGCACCATCATCATCAGCACCAGTAGCGCACAACAGAGCAGCAGCAGCACCTTACCACTGGACGGGAAATCACCGGCGCACCCACGTCTTTTGGATGGTCAGCAGGAGGAAAAAGTGTCCCAGTTATGATGAGCAGCAGACAACACGCCACCCACCCTTACTGCAGCGAAAGTGGCAGCAGCAGCAATGGCTGTACCGAGGCCCCGAAGGCTATGAAGGGCGCGCCCAGCTCGTCAGCAGCAGATGACAGCGAGGACACTGCATTAAAAGCAGACACCAGCACTACTAGCACACCGGTGGACACTACCACCAGCACTGAACACTGTCACTCTGTCACAAGGTTTGTCCGACAGTTTTGGCAGCTTTTCTTCCTTTTCTCCTTGATGATGATGATGATGATGATGGTACTAGTGACGTAGTGTAATGGTGTCCCCGCTTTAGTTTCTTTGGTCACGGTGGCCAAAATACCAGCAACACCAAAGCTAAAGCCTGCCCATCTCATTTGAATTTATATTGTACGGCAGCAGCAGCCTGAGTAGTTCTCGTTCCAGTGTTCCAGTGTTTGTCAGCGCGCGTTTTTCCTGAAAACGGGTCCGGAAAGAGAGGGAGAAGGAGATCGACTGCCACTAATTGGCAGTTTTGTTTGCCAGCCAGCGCCTGTCAGTTTCCTCTCATTTTCCCCCTTTCATTCTATTTTTCTATTTGGTCTATTTGTTTGTCCTCCTCTTCTGCTTCCTCTTCCCAGCAGCAGTTTTCGGGCAAAGGCAGCAGCAGCAGCGGCAGTTCCAGACCAGAAAGTGATTCTGTCAGCTCAGGCGTCTGTGGTTTATGTGAATGTGTGCTGTGCTGTGCTGTTTGTGTCTGTCTATCGCTGAGCTGCCCCGTTAATTGAATTTCGCTGTCCTGCCTCCTCCTCCTCTTCTGCCCGTCGTAATGAGCTCCAGCATTAGCTTATTAGCTGCACAGTTAAAGCTGAAGAGCTAGTAGTACAATTCCAAAGTACAATCCTCTGCGCTTCTTCTTTTTTAGTGCGGTGCCTCCGTTTCAGTTCTCTTTGTGTCCTTTCGCAGTTGAGCTTCTGGTGATGTTGCTGCTTCGGTGACAGCAGCAGCAGCAGCTCACTGGCGGAATCGCATTTCAGGGAAGGCAGCTTCGACTTTTTCCGAGCTCATTCCTGGAGCTGTCCCAGACGATGGAGAGGATGGAGATGGGAAGACAGGGCGACAACGAGGCCCGTCACTTGGTTTCCACTTTTCCTGTTTTTCACTTTTACTTTCACTTTCACTTTTTGCACACACACACACACTCATTTGATCCGTCGGTGCTCATTAGCGGTGTCGTCTTTTTCTGCCTTCACTTTCCACTGATCCCCTTCTACTGCTTTTTTTCACTTTCATTTTCTAAAGCTCACTTTTTCTCTTTTTCTTTCATTCACCCTCTTCAGGGATCGACTGCCGGCGATGATGGTGCCCCGCGACGAGGTGGGCCTCTGGAGCATCCTCAAGCACTGCATGGGCAAGGACCTGTCGAAGATTACCATCCCGGTGGTGTTCAATGAGCCCCTCAGCTTTCTGCAGCGCATGGCGGAGATCTTCGAGTACTGCAACTATCTGAACATTGCCGATCAGTGCGATGACGTGGTGGAGCGCATGGAGGTAAGTGAAAGGCTGAAAACGGCTGAAAAGGCTGAAGTGATTTAAAAAGAAGCAGAAAATTATTCTGCTGCTGCTGAGCTTAATGAAGCGCGTCCTGATGCGATGCGATGTGAGGGAAGGAGGCTCGCTAAGCTGCTCAATTCAGCTCAGCTCAGCTCAGCTTTGCTCGGCATCATTAGCAGGCAGGCAGGGCAAGTTTATTAGCATCATTTTCCGCGCCTCTGCACATTTCATCATTACATCCAGGCGCTCTCATTTTCACCTCATTTTCACTTTCTCCCTCTCAGAACGTCTGCGCCTTCATCATCTCCAGCTACTCGTCCAACTACCTCCGCCTGAACAAGCCCTTTAACCCGCTGCTGGGCGAGACTTTCGAATTTGAGGTGCCCTCCGCCCAGACGCGCATCGTCCTGGAGCAGGTCTCCCACCACCCGCCCATCAGCGCCTGGCACGCCGAGTCCCCTCACTTTGTGATGCGCGGCAGCATCAACCCGCGCCTCCGCTTCTGGGGCAAGTCCATCGAGGTGAAGCCGGAGGGCTCGCTGGAGCTGACGCTGAAGCGGAGCGAGGAGACGTACACCTGGAAGAGTGTCAACTGCTGCGTTCACAACATCATCGTCGGCAAGCTGTGGTTTGAACAAGTAATATAATTAGGTTTGCTCATCGTTTGTTGTGATTAACCTCTTTGCTGGGCTTTTTTCATGTTTAGTACGGCGACGTGGAGGTGGTGAATCACTCGAACAAGTACCGCATATCGCTGAACTTCAAGTCGGCGAGCTGGTTCAGCGGCTACGAGCTGAACCGCTTTGACGGCTTCATACTGAATGAGCGCAAGGAGCGGGTTCGCTTTCTCTACGGTAAGTTGCGGTTGGCAGCGTTTTTCTGAACTGAACTCAAGCAATAATATGCTAATAATGCTATTTTATGACGAATACTATAGGCAAGTGGAACGACTACCTGAAGTCCGCCTCGCCGGCCGACTACGAGGAGTACCTGCGGACGAACAAGCAGTTTCGGGTGCCCGAGGAGGCGGCAGTGATCGGTGACTATCATCACGACAACTTTGCCGCCGGCTCGCGGAAGGTCATCTCCAAGCTGGGCAGTCTGACGAAGCAGCTGACGGGCACTGGAGGTGGAAGTGGTGATGATAAAACTCAGGAAACTCTAACAGCCTCTGAACAGCAGCAGGAAGAAATGGGTGAAAGTGGTCAGCAGCAGCTGCCGAAGAGCGACTCGTCGCACTCGCTAGACATCAGCAACTCGCGCATCCTCTGGAAGGTGCAGCCGCGGCCGGAGCACTCGCCCGCCTACTACCACTTTAACAGCTTTGCCTTCTCCCTTAACGAGCTGCCCGCGGACAGTACGCTGGTGGACACCTATCCCATCACCGACTCGAGGTTCAGGCCGGACATTAGGAAGCTGGAGGAGGGCGATCTGGGTAAGTGCTGCTGATGATGAAGCTGTTTTCGAGTTGTTGCAGAGAGCCTGCAGCTACTTTTTGGTGTTCACTTCAGTACACTGTTCTGTGTTCAGAGTGCCAGCTAATCAGCACCAGTGAGGTCCCCTCAGTTTCTTCTGTCTGCTTTTTATCCCTTTTCGTTTTCTTTCCTTTCACTTCTTTCGAGTGTGTGTGTGTGTGTTTGCTTTTTCTGCTTATTCTCACTTTTTTCTTTCATTTTCTTTTTTCCTTTTCCTTTCTTTCCTTTCTCTCCACTCACCGATCTCATCTCATTACGATCTGGCTCTTCTCTCTTGCAGACGGTGCCGCGGCTGAAAAGCATCGCCTAGAGGAGAAGCAACGTGAGACGCGGAAACTGCTGAAGAAGCGCAAAGAAAAGGAGCCAGAGCCACTGTAAGTGCCGACAATTGCCCGCTGCTGTTGCTGGAATTGCACTTTTTTTCACTTTCTTTCTGGCGATGAGACTTTTGCCATTGCCTGACTTTCTTGACTTTCTTTTCCCCCTCAACTAATTGAGCTTCTCCCTCTTCTGGTTCATTTCCCCTGCCCTTCTCCCCACTTTTTTCTCCCCACTTCTTTCAGCTGGTTCGGCAAACAGGTCAGCCCACTGACCAAGGAGGAAGAGTGGACCTTTAATCAAAAGTATTGGAATCGCGACTGGTCTCGCTGTCCGGATATCTTCTAGTGCAGGTGCTACTTGAACTGACGAACCTCTCACCATCACCTTATCATCATCATCACCACCACCACCTCATTTGCCTTCTTCTCTGGTCACGCATGTCCGGTGCACAACTCTCTGCACTGGACATGCCCATTCTCTCACATCTCAAATCAATACCGTCCGCTTGCAAATACTTCGAGTCACAACTTCACATTTCTTACTCCTTCTCACTCGGCCACTTACACTGGTGGTGGTGATAATCCGGGGACAGCACTGCACTACTTCCACCACCACCACCACCACCAGATCCAGCAGCACTTTCACCTTCACCAACTCTCTTTCTCTCTCTGATCGATTGCTCACTCACACTTTCTCTGGTGCTTTTGCTCTCTGCTACATTACTGCGCCTTTACACACTCGCATTTTCTAGTACCAACACTGCTGCCGCTGCCACAACCATCACCACCGCGACCACCATAAAACGACATATAATTAAAGTCACACAGCAGCAGCACACATTCATTCAGTCAGTCACATTCATGCCACGACACATTCCAACGCATTCTCGCTCCCGCTCTCTCTTCCAGGAATCGCACAATGGCCTAAGAGAGAGAGACGACCCGAGAGATCTTATCCACGACCACCACCACCGCTATCACAGACACATTTACACTTGTACCCTCTCTCTCTCTCTCACTTTCTTCAATGGCAACAACAGCAGCAGCGTTTTTAGTCGACACTGTTTTAGGTCGATTTTAAAGCTCTATTTATATTCCTTCTCTCTCTCTCTCTCACTTTTCACTATTTTATTTATTACTCGCCTCGTTATACTGCTGCTGCTTCTGCTTCTCTGTACACTCTTTTGCGACACTCAAACTCGCCTGTGTCGTAATCATGTCGCTCTCACTCTCCTTCCTTTCTTCCTTCTTTACTCTGCTTATAATTATATTATATACTTTCTCTCTCTCTCTCTCCTCTTTAATCGAAGATCATTACAGCAAACACACATCTGAGGGTGAAAAGGAAGAGTGTTTGACTGCCTGTGTGTGCACGAGCGATCTGCACACACAAAATGAATGTTTTAGATTACAGCGAAAGAAATAAAAATGTTTATAAATTAACATGGCTGAAATTACTTTTCTTGGAGTGGGTAAGAGGTTTACATTTTTTTGTGAATTAACTGTGGTTATGAAAATAGTATTTTTAGTAGATCTTTGGCGGTACCTGATTACAGACTTTGGGAGTTTAGCAATCAAAGAATTTCAATATTTCTGTTCATTGCTGATCAGCTGAATCTCGTGAATGGCCTTCCCAATTGTCTCACGCGTGCCGGTGATGCGCACCGCCGTCGAGTCGTCGTCCTGCTTGGGAATTTGAATCTTCGTCCCGGTGGACTGCTCCAGTGCGGACAGCTTGGCGCCGCCCTTGCCCAGAATGATGCGGTGGGGCTCCTTCGGCACACTGTAGGTCTGCGTCATCTGAGCCTGAAACTTGCTTGCCAGCATGCGTCGGGCCTTAAGAGGAAGGAAGGAATCTTTTATTTGCCTTTTTGGGGCCTAGAGAGAAAAAGGTTTTGATAAGGTTTTTACATAACCGTTGACAACAGCAAAATTCAACCAGCACTTACACTGGTAGTGGCGTCCTCCTTGCCCGAGATGAGAAAGTTCAGCGTCCCTTCGCAACTGGTGGTGGTGGTGAGCTGATGAATGTCAGTGCCGGTGCTGGGCACTTTGTAGCCGTGGTCACCGGACACTGGTGCCGGAACGTTGTCGTCGTCGGTGGTCAGCTGGGTGGGATGTGAAAAGGTGAAAGTTTAAACTAATGCAGCAAAGAAATCTTACAGTGGTCTTCTGGCCATAATTCATCTCACAACGCCTCCTAATATTGTCTTCATTGCACAGTGAAGGTGATGGCGGTGATGGCGGTGATGGGGACGGGGGAGTGTCGAGCTCGGAAAGAGGAGGAGGTGTAGAAAACTCGGACATCCATTCACCCGACATTTTGAAAACTTGTTGTTTTTGCCAAAACTGAACGTTGATTACTGACCGCAAGATAAAACAAAATGCGCGGGCAAAAGCCGTTCACAAATGTCGTATCGCTCAGGTGCGCCTTTTTGCACCAAATAGAACAACAACGAAAAATTACGCCATCGACAGTTCTGCACTTTTCCTCAAATCGAAACGAAAGTCCATGCCGAACAAAGAATGGCCATCCAGTCACCCCTAACCTTCGAACATCGCCTGTCACTGAGGCTGCCTCCAGCAGTGTTGACACGCCTCATCCTTTGCCAACTGCTGCCGCCGTCGCCACCGCCTCTACCACCACTCTGCGGATGACATTTTTATGGCTGGCATCATCAAGAATGTGAACCTCAACTTTTTTTCGAATCGAGGAATTGAGAGCACGGCGAGACATTGACGACGACGACTACGTCGACGACGACACTGATGACGAGCAGTCTATCCTTCTCTCTCTCGCTCTTCTGCGGTAGCAGTCTCTGAATCCCCTTTCTTAATATAGTCCTCGGCAGACCGATGCCAAAATAACGCTGCAACCAAAGCAAGAAAAAAGCGCTTCTTCGGCGAGCTTGAAGAGACACACTCACCATCACCACCACCACCATCATCATTCCTAGTTCGTTCACTTGTGCTGCTGCTGTTCGTGTCGCCATCGAGGTTCGGCAGAGCTGAGCAAAGGTCTTTGAGGGAGAAGAGTGCTCTACCACGTTCGCCACCAGTCACCAGAGGAATGCCACGTTCGACGACGACGACGAGTCCTGGAGGTGTGTAGCACCCTAATGGTGCTGCCGCTGCCACAGTTGGTGCTCTTCAGATTCTGTTACTGTTCATATTGTTCCACAGACAGTTTTCTTCTTCCACTTCGTCTTTCCCTTCGCCACCTTTCTCACCTCGACTGTCTCCCACAACCAGCGGCAGCAGCTGCAGCAGCAAAAGTGCTCTTGGCCGTCGACGGGAATGAGTGCCAAAAGTTGGCGTCGTCTTCTGCCACCACCACCACCACCACCACTAACATCAGCATCAGCCGCAACCAGAAAGCAGTGTCTTCTACTTCTCTCTGATTCCATTGTGTTCTTCTTCTCTGCTGCGTGTTGCTACTTTTTCCTACAAGCCCTCGGCGGTTGTCTGCTACCAGCACTGCCGCCCCAGCAGTAGTACCAGCAACTGGTGGAAGAGAACCACCGAATCCACTGGAAGAGAAGTGCTGCAGCCGGGAAGTGGCAGTGCCGTGTGAATCTGCTGGCCTGCTTAGCGCGCCGCTCAAGAAGAAGGAAGGAAAGGAAAGAAAGAAGAAAGAAATCGGCACACATACTACACTTGCAAAGCACTGAGCAGCGAATTGCGGCAAGGCGGGCACACATACATTCACACACAGCGGATATCACCGTACCGAGAGCTCCACCAGTAGAGCAGAAGTGCAACAGCGAACGACTGAAAGGAGCACTGAGTGCACAGTGAATCAATTCGCAGCCTATTCTCCTACTCACTGTCGCCTGTATCCTTCTTCCTCTCTTCTTCCTCCTCCGTCTGCTAGTGTCTGATTCTTCCTCTTGATCTACTCTCCACCGGCAAGTCCAAGCTCTATTCTACTTCTTCATCATCCCACCCACTGATGATTGATTGCCGCCAATGCCCGTACCACCACTACCTACAAGGCCGCATCAGCAGCTGATGGGATGATCTCCGTAGTGAAGGCGGCGATCTCCATCCGGCCACCTTCGGCCACCTTGACAAACTGCTGCAGATGTTGAGAGACTGCTGTTTTGAACTCCGCTAGTGCGCACACCCCATGATGGACTGAACCAAGAGTGCACCATCAGTTAAATTTTACCTTTCGACCTTAGGCAATGTACCAACTAAAGCACAACTCAACGTTTATCAATCAAGCACTGGAAGCACCTCTCTATTCACTCTGAGCTCGCGTATCTGTGATGTTGTTCGACCTCCACGACACAGGAACACCCACCACTCTTCCAACAGCTTTGGCTGCTGCGACCTTTTCGCTCATCCTCATCTTTCGCCCCTCTTCGTCGCCTCCTTCAGCCCTACTTCAGCCAGAGACTGATCTGATTGAGCCGCCACCACAGCCCTGATTGAGCCCAGCATATCACCCGGCAGCTCTTTGCTGCCCTCCTTCAGTTGCCGGTAGCAGGGTCTGTCGGTCGGATCAGGATCACTGGGAGAAGAGGAGAGCGAGTAAGTCCTGCAGTCACGCAGTCACTTGCCTGGCTGACCCTGGAGATTCATGACCGTCAGCTACCAGTACGATGTCGCTTCCTCTTCAACCGGGGGCTTCTTTCGGCTCCTCTGGCGTTGGCGGGGCAGCATCTGGAAGCTCCTCTACAAAGAACTGCTGCTCTTCTGCGGCGTCTACCTCTGCATTGCCTTCACCTATGACTTCCTGATGTCTGACTACTACAAAAGGTAGGTGGCACGAGCTTCTTTTTTTCTGTATTATTTATTGTTTGCAGTTAGTTCTTCGACCCACTTAGCGTCGATATTAATGGCTCCAACAGGAGTTGAAGTTGAACAGACACANTCTGCATTATTTGTTTGCAGTTAGTTCTTCGACCCACTTAGCGTCGATATTAATGGCTCCAACAGGAGTTGAAGTTGAACAGACACACACACTGTGTTGAGCCGCGATCAAATCGCGCCGATCACCGAACAGTCGACGATTGATTTATTCACTGGTTGTGTTGTACAGTTGTGCCGTTTTGTAAACAGACACACACAGACATATTCCCAGTGTGTTTGCTCTGGTGGCCACCCCAAGGCAAGCAAACGGCAAGCAAGCAAGCGACGGCGGCCCTCTCGGGTTTTCGAGCATCGCGTTTGCGGTTAATTAGTGTGTAAACATAGACTTGCTGATGCACCAACAGCAGAAGTAGTGAAGTGGCTGCACTTGAACCAGCTCCTGCTCAGAGTCATCAATAGATACTCTCTCTCTCTCTCATTCGATACACATCAGTGGCACTGCATCAACTCGTGTCACTGTGGCAATGG